TCGTCATGACGCAAGGAAGCCAAGGTCTGCTCGCGCCATGCCGCGGTTCTTACCAGCATTGGTGCAATATCGTGCATCGCAAGTCGGAACGGACGTCAAGATCCGTCCATGCCCGCTGCCAGTCATGTACAGTACTGTACAATAGTCAGCTTATTTTTTGTGGTACAATGTATATTCAGTGACAATAGACCCCATTTTGTAGTACAGTATAACCTGGTCCTGAACAATGACGCAGATGACGTCGCGAGTTCCTGGGTAACTCCCTCCGGTTCGCTTCGGACAAGCAGTCCGCGAGTCGGCGTATATCTGCTTTAAACCAATCACTTGTTGCATACTGCACTGTGAGGTAGCCCGTCGAGACCTAGGCAAAACCAAAATCCGGGATTCCGGAGCCCGATGGTTCGGAAACGGGCAAATCATTCTATCCGACAAGACTACTGTACCGTTCTAGCTCCCGTGGTGAGCGTTACCATAATGACCAGAGAGGGCTGCGGTGTGTTTAACTGACACAGAATTGCCCGCTGGTGCTCGGAGGTCATTTGTGACACAAAATGCCCGATCAGTTCGACAGGTTCACCCCGCGCAGCAAGACTCGGATCCCCCAATCCTGCTTTGCCTTGGGCGCAGCATGATTCGGCCCCATGCTTAAGAGGGATTGACCAGGCTGGACGCGACCATGCGTCTTTCAGAGTGTGATGATCGCATTTTGAGGTGCCCGATCGCGGTCGATGGGAGACCCAGTGGGGGAGCTGGATGACCTGCAGACCAGGGCTAGGGCAAATGAAGCGGGTCACACAGGGGAAAAGAAAAAATAAAGATAGAAAAGAAAAAACTGAGGAAGTGGGGAAAGTGAGGGATATGAGGTAAAGGCAAGGAATGGGGAAGATATGGTCAAAAGATGGCGAGAGATGGGAAATATTGAAGTAAGCATTGACACCTTGTTTTTCCTTTTTTTTTTTTGATCTGACTATTGTAGTTATCTTTTACAGTGGCGGGATGCCTCTTATATATGTTCCCAATCCCTGCCATAAGGTTCAGCCACCGTGATACTCAACACTCCCACTCGATGGCAACCACCATCAAGGGTGCCATTGACCATTCATCACGGTTGTGAAGGGCCCCATTAAAACCTTCAAAAAACCTTTTAATGGAAAAGAAGGAAAGGGTACCCGTGCGGCTTAGTTTCTACCTGAGATCCATAAGCCGGGCGGTGTCACTCAATGCCAAGTCCTCTCCGAAACCATTCAAATCGTTCTCGTGCAAGAGGCTTCGTGAACCCATCAGCAATTTGCTCGGTAGTTGAAATATATTTCAGCTCCACTGTTCCAAGGTCTTGGACCTCTCCTTGCCATTTGCGTTGGATTTCCATATGCTTCGTACGGGAATGATATTGCGGGTTCGAGGACAGGGCGATAGCTCCTTGGTTGTCACCACAAATGATCGTTGCAGCTTTTCCTTGGCTCATGTTTAACTCATTGAGAAGTCTTCTCAGCCAGATTGCTTCTTTGGTTGCTTGTGTCTGGCCTAGAAATTCAGCTTCACAGGTCGAGAGGGCAACGACGCCTTGGCGCTTTGATTGCCAACTGATTGCTCCACTCCCGATATTGAAGAGATATCCAGCTGTTGAACGTCTGGTGTCGCGACATCCACCCCAGTCTGCGTCTGTAAAGCCCCTCAGCATCTGGGGATGGCCCTTGTACGTGAGCCTGAGGCCTTTTGTGCCGTTGAGATATTGCAGGATGCGTCGAGCGAGTTTCACGTGTTGCGGCCCGGGGTTTGCTAGGTACCTGCTCGCCAGAGACAGCATACGCGACGTCCCCCCTGGTTCCTAGCATGATATACATCAGGGATCCGACAATCCGTTGGTAGGCGGTCCTTTGATCTGGAGGGCATCTGTATTCCAGACTATTCTCTGGAAGTGGCGAGGTTTCTATTGGTGTGCTGACGGGAGCGCCGTTGCTGATTCCGAATTGATGAGCGACCTTGTCAATATACGCTTCTTGACTTAGGTACAGTATCCTGTTTTGACGGTCTCGCTGGACGGACATCCCGAGATAATAGCTGCACGGTCCGAGGTCTGTCATTTGAAAACGGGTTCTGAGGCTCCGCTTGATCTTCTTTATTTCCGCAATGCTTGGTCCCACGATCAGGAGGTCATCGACGTACACCGCGATGTACATATTGCTCCGGACGAAGATCCCAAGATCAGCGCTGATTGGCTCGAAGCCGAGGTTTCGTAGGAAATTTGTAAGTGTCTGATACCAGATCCGAGGAGCTTGTTTCAGGCCATAGAGTGCCTTTCGCAGTTTGCAGACCCTAGATGTGCCGTCGGCCATGTGGTGAGGCTGTTCGACGTAGATCTCATGGTCTATGTACCCGTACAGGAATGCCGTTTTGACGTCCATTTGCTCGATCTCTAGATCTAGAGCCGCCGCGATTGCGAACAAGGCTTTGTAGCTCATCGGCTTGACCACTGAGGCAAAGGTTTCGTCATAGTCGATGCCCTCTTCTTGTGTAAAGCCTCTCACTACCCATCGGCTTTTGTAACGGATGACTTCGCCATGCGGTCCTCGTTTGAGTTTGAAGACCCATTTTCCACTGAGGATCCGCCGATCTTTGGGAGGATCAACAAGCTCCCAGGTTTTGTTTTGGCTGAGCGAGTTCACTTCTTCAAGCATCGCTCTTTCCCACTCGAGCCAGCTTGCATCGTTCTTTGCTTGATGCAGAGTCTTTGGCTCAAAGGGTTCTGTTTCCTTGGCAGCGACTGTTAGGAACGTTGGGATGATGTACTTTTCAGGTATATTAATTAACGCTAGCTCT